TTTAAAAATTGCTTGATTTAAGAGTCCAATACTCCTTGTATGCCTTGTGGATGCCATTTAGGAGTAAATTTTTCGAAAGATTAATATCTTGCTTGCATTAGTGGTCCACATCATCCTGATTTTCTGATTGTTTTAAGATTCACTCTAAGATTCTACACTAGCACAGGCACAAACTAGCATTCATTTGTGAGGTACATGCTTTGTTGATTATTGAATTGGTTATATCACAATTGAGCTAGTAGTGCATTGAAAGCTTTCATCTTGATAAAAGTGAAAAACAAACCCTTTTCATTGAGTAGCCGGGATTCTAGCCCTATCAAGCACTGAATTTCTCACGCCGGAAGGTGGAGGGCCCAAACTTTAGGTTAATAATTTAATTATCAAAATAATAATAATAAATAAATAAATAAATAAAAAGAAGTTGAAAAAAGTAATAAAAAGTGAGTACTTCTCCCAAAAGGTGAGAAGTGGAAAATGATTAGATGGAGACTGTTTTGATTTGTAGCCTAGTTGATTTGAGCTTGTAAGTCCTTAAGGGTGTTTGAACACCTAGTGCCCTAAAGCCGTCTGATTTGGGAGTCATTGACCTAACGCTCGACCTCATGGATCGCTAGAAAGCTTAATAGATCAACACATTGCACTATGCTTCCATCTTTGATAAATTTAAAAAAATAAAATAAAATAAAAAAATCGAGCGAAAAGAATAAGCGTACCTAGATGAATAAAATTTTAATAAAAGGTCCACTTTTTGTCTTGATGATCGGTACTAGATTTGTGTGCTAGTTTGAGGGTAAGGATGTGATCATTTCTCTAGTTGGCTTAGATAGCAACATATTTAATGCCGGTCCACTCAAAAAGGATTCTAGTGTTATTTTTATTTGCATGATCATTTTCTTGATGTGTGGAGGACCATATTTGCTTGTTTGATGTTAAAATTTTGGGAGATTGCTTGGAAAGGGTTGAAAAATTGCATACTTGAGGTAGTTTCTCCCAATGCCTATTTGCAATAATGGTGTCTATTTTGTGAGAATGTGCTTAATGTTTGTGGGTGCCATTTCTGGAAACCCTCACGAGACTTCACTCATCCACTAGGGGTAACCTAGGTGTTTAAAAAGCTTGTTGCATGTGCTAAATGCAATCATATTCCCTACGAAAGTGGCGTTATCCATTTATTGCTTTCTAGTTCATAGTTGTATAATTGTTCATTTCATTCCTTTACTTTGCAGTTCATTGTTAGGGACTAGCAATATTTAAGTTTGGGGGTGTGATGAGTGTTGAAAAGTGCGTTTTTAAACCCTTTAAGCTCGAGTATTCACTACAACAGTTCTGGCTTTTACCAACGCTCAAAAGCGCTAGTAAAAGTCTTAAAAAGCGCTGGTAATTCAATTACCAGCACTTTACCAGCGCTTTTCCAAAATTGCTGGTAAAACCAGTGTCAGTAGACCTTTACCAGCGTTTTTCCAGAAAACGCTGGCATAGAGTATTTACCAGCGCTTTTCCAAAAAGCGCTGATAAAAGCACTTTACCAGCACTTTTGCAGAAAACGCTGGTAAAAGGTTTTTTTAATTTTTTTTTTTAATTTTTTTTCCTCCCCCCTATGCCAGAGCTTCTTAAAAGAGTGCTGGTAAAGGGTTATTTAATTTTTTCCTCTTTTTTTTTCCGCTTATTGTTTTTGGAAAAAAAAATCTTTACGGCTACTAAATGCCATCCAATATAACACAAGTCAATATAAAAATACCATCCAAATTGTTTTTACATAATACAACCACAAGTTAACCCCGCCAATATGAAAATTACCATTGAAATTGGCTACTAATTAATACAACCTCAAGTTAAGCTAGTAAATGTCAACCAAAAAGAAAAAATGTATACGAATATAACCACAAGTTAACCTGCCAATATACCATCCAAATTGTCTACATAAAGCTACTAAATGTCACACAAAAAAAAATTAAGAATTTTTGACAAATGTAGTACAAGTTTTTCAAAAAGAACCCATCCAAGGCAAAGGAAATTCATAAAGCCCGGCCACGACCCCATCTTCAACTTCAACTTCAACAAGTCTTCTTACCCATTTGATTTGAATTACCCTACATTTTTTATAAATTCATTAAGCGCACATTATAATAAATGAAAATTTAACATATATATAAGAGAAATTAAAAGTTCATAACCTTAACTGAATTGGCATCACGACTAGAAAATGAATTTGGGAATACTCTAGGAGGAGCATTTAAAGAATCGGAACCCTTCAAAATAACAAAACAAAATACATGAAATCTTAGCATAAGTAAACATATATTTAGTAAAGAGTAAAAATAATAATAAACATACCTGTCCACTACAATTTTGTTATTGCATCTGCATTAGCATAGCCACCTATTGTTGTAAATTTTCCAACTTGTCATCATAATTGGCTCGTAAATTTTCTAACTTGTTGTCATAGTCGGCTTGCATTTTTGAAATCGACTCCTGCAACTCTACGCGTGCAGCACGTGCCTCCTCATCAGATTTTTTAGCATTATTAATCAGTTCTGCTTTACTAGGAGAGGGCCCCTAAACATCGCTTGGTGTAGGCCCGAAGCCAAGCATCCGCACACGACCAGTTCTCTCTTCTCCCCTCACAATGGAGAACAAATCATTGGAACTGCCAATAGGCGAGTTAGAGTAACTTTTTTGAAGTTCTTTTATGTTTTCCTGCCAAAAAAAAAAAGTTTGAACTACTATGACATACTGCTATGAAACATCCAGACAAATCTAATGAAATGAATGATAGAACAGGAATCCAGAAACAGCTGAACAGAAAAGTAATTAGATAACAAATTGGTAATGATGAAAGCCAGGTATTCTGAAATAGCAGTGCATCACACAATGTGAAAATATAGTTGTACATCCCTTTGAACTTTTATACAATCTCTAAAGCTTCAAAATATTCACACCCACTTCATTTACAGACAAAATGCTGGAAATTAAAGGAATGCTAAAAAATAATGTTCCAGCTTAACTCACACTGACAATGAAGGTAATAGAAACAAGTGGACTCAATGATACTGGACATTTGGAGACATTCACACTGACAAGAGTAAAAAAGTGTTTTCCTAAAAGTGAACTTTAAAAAAATAATTACAGTGAGGTGGAAAAAAAACTCTTCATATAAAAGTCCCATCGGTGAGAGATGGAAAAGTCTGGGCTTATCTTTATCTTTATTATAGAGAATATCTATAAAAGTCCATGTATAAAGATAAGCTCAAAGCTATATTTTTGTGTACTTCCCATCGGTGAGAGATGTAAAAGTCTGGGCTGTTAATTTCAAGAAGAAACATAATCCAAAACCCTTTTCTCAATGGTGGCTCAACAACCCAGAAATTACCGAGCAAGACCTCCAAATTCAGAAATTTTTCGGTAAGCTCTGAATTGAAACTCTCTCTCTTCCCATTGATCTTTACCAGTCAAATAAGCCATCATTTTGTTCCATTAATTTCAGCAAAAAGTACTCAAAATTATTTTCCCATTTGAAAAAAATAATTTATTTCAGCTATGCTAGCAGTTTAAATAAACCCAATTTCCTATAAATGTTCATAAGCAATTTCATGTTTAGTTCTATATTCAGTAGGTGTTAATATATTTATAGAAAAGTTGGTCAGATAAACATGTTTGTATATATAACTGGAAGAGAAAAATGCATCATATGAATATATATGATAAATTATATATATACATGCACACATAATTAATTGAAGCATAGGAAGTAGTAAGATATATATTATATTCATATTATCCCCATGACCTTTTGGAGAAAAGAACATTTTTAGATTCATGTGTGTCGCAGGGACCACCAACAAACACAACTAATTTTTGGTCATTTTATTCATTTTGATGTTCATCTAATATAGTATATAATATTGCCCAGAAAATGAGTCAAAAGCAGACCTTATCTTTATCTTAAAGATTATTCGTAACTTCCAAGGTAGAAGAAGAAGAAAAGGAGGGCAAATAACCAACAAGAGAAATGAACTGAAGTCATAAAACTTGTTTGCATGACTCCTATTATGCCCAAGGCATGGAAACTGGTAGCTAAATGGTTTATTATGGAAGAGATACTGGGAAAGTAGGAAGAGTCTAAAACTGAAAATGAGCTAAAATCTAAACGTTCTTATTTATTTATTTTTTACCAGTAACTTTTATTCAGCTTAACTCAACAAAGCCTTATTCTTACTATTTGAAGTTGCCTACATTCAAAAGACCATTGCACTGGTATGAGTAAAAAATTAACACAAACAACAAACAACAAATAGCAAATACTTCTCCTCCATAACACAAATCAATCAACAAGAAGCCTCCACATACAATGATCCCATACTCCCATGCTTTCCAACAAATATAAGAAAGTAAATTGCCTCCACACGGGCCGATGATAAACAATGAAATTAAAATGCCTCCACACGGGCCGATGATTTAAAAAATTGGTCACTTCAAGGCATGTGACCCCCTAATACACTGCAAAGAGTTTAAAAATTGGTCACTTCCAAGGCACGTGACCCCCTTTTTGCAAAATGGAAGCATGAAAACTTACAATCATCTCCAAAGTAGCAGCATCAGTAGCTTTGCCATCCTTATTTACGTGTGTGCGAATGAATAAATCTGCACGAGAAAATTGAATACCTTCATTTTCCTCAATCTATAAAAGAAACATAGACATTCTGACATATATTATTTACCACTAACATTTATAATCATTCAACGACATAAGAATTGAAATAATTTATATTGCCAAAACTTCAACTAACCTCGGTAGAAACACGTGCAAAGCTTTTTAGTGGATCATTGTCTGCTTCCCATGACGTTCTTTATTTTTTTTACTGACCTCCTACAAAAAGTAAGAAAAAGTAAACGTTCTTTGAGTAAAGAACAGTCCACCTAAAATAATGACTGAAAGCAAGTAAACTATACATTCAACTCATTGACTTTAAACAAAATTGGTAGATGGAGGATTACCTTCGCCATAGGTGTACCCCAATGCCTAACCAAAAATTCCCAATGCTCTTTTTCAACATCAAGTGGTGGGTTTGCCAATCTTTTTGCATCTGTATCCCTAACCGAGTTGTCTTCATTTTTTAATTCACACTTGTACTCCCTCCATTTTTTTTCCGATGGAGGATAATGTCCACTATTTTGACATAATTCCCACATCATACTTTCCCTGAAAATGTGATAATTGCTACATGTTAGTCCACTTTTTCCATAAAAATTATTTTTATGTCATTGAAGGGTTTTATCTTTACAATGTTCCACATATCCTCCTTCAGCCATTTAGGCATCTCCCACCAAGTTTTGTAGCACAAAGGAGCTAATTTAGCACTCCGGGCAAGTGTTCCCAAATAATTAGTATATGTACCACTTTCAGGGCCAATCGGCTGTCCAAACTTATTAACCATAAACAAAAATTAGCAATTGTAGATGTTTAGCACAAAAATAAAGATAGAAATCCTTTTTTCTCCATCATATTGAATATAGTCTAATTACGTAAACTATATAAGATGATCTCTATATATATGTACCTTAATGGTAATAAGGTTGTCGCGTTTACGACATTCTTGCATCGTGTCGGGCCCCGTCTCTTCTTCGGTGGTGGTTGGGATGATTTTGATGTTGAAGCTTCGGTATTTTGTTCACTCACTTTTTCCACTTCACTAACCGTTCGTTTCATTGTCAGCTTATTATTTATCCTTCCTGGAAAAGCAAACAAAAAAGTGAGAATTCATTTAAGAGAATGCAATCAAATTGTTTAAAAAAGGCAAAATCCAAGAAAAATCAATAAAAAGAAATAAAAAATACCTCAAAACTTTAGGGTATTTTTGGTTGTCCAATGGAAATTATATAAAACCATTCTATTTTGGTAAAAATCATTCATTGCACTTATACAATAATGTGCCAAGAATAGATCAAAACATATTAAAAATATATAAGCACACAAAAAAAATAAATCAGTTTTCATGGGAAGCGTACATGTGCATGCTACAAAATATGATACTGCAATATTATTGTCAAAGCAGCATATATATATATATATATATATATAGTCAATTTGAGCTTGTAATATGAAAAAAAAAAAAAAAAAAAAAAAAAAAAAAAAAAAGACATTTGACATCCAAAAAAGACGTTTCATATCCATTGAGTAGTAGATATGGAATCCTCCTAAATCTCATCTTCATAAAGGTCCTCATCAACATCATCATCTTCTTCTATAGTTGTTCCAAGCAAATCAGCTCTTGTCCAAAACGTGCTATCATCAGGTACATCCAAGTCGTTATCCACATGTTGTGCATGAAATGGCTCCTGAACTTGATAAGATTCAATATCATGCTCTGGCATATCATAAAGGTCTCGCGGTTTTGCACCAATAACCACTTTCCACTCATTGTCAATGGGATCATCAACATAGAATACTTGTTCAGCTTAAGATGCTAAAATGAAAGGTTCATCTATTCCCAATGATCGTGACGAATTAACAAGCTTAAATCGAAAATCATCCTCATTTATTCCTCTACCCTTGGACAAGACATCAAACCAATCACACTTAAACAATACCACCTTCCTATTTACATTGTAATTTAACTCAATGACATCAGTCAGCACACCATAGTACTGAATATCTCCTGTGACGGGATTTTGATCGGTGGCTCTTGCATAACTAGATGTCAATGCCTTTATGACAACTCCACTGTTCTGAGTCTTTCTCCGTCTCTCAATATCTCTAACATGAAACTTCAAACCATTGATCACAAACTTCTTAAACCTTTTCGCGACGGGGTTTGGACCTTGTGCTAGCCACCTCAGCTCATTAGGAATTGGATCCTCACTATCTCGCAACTATATTCATAAAGATATAACTTATATAATAAGGTAATTTTTCATAAACCTATAATACACCAACACATACACAAAAGTCAAATACTTACACATTCATTAAACCATTTGTGAAATAAATCATGAGATATTTTCTCTAATTGTCTTGGTTTTAAATAGCGCTGCCTCATCTTAAGAAATCTCTTATGTTTTCTGCATTGTGAAAATATAATGTTAAACATATTGCCTATTAAACTAAATGAAGTTTGACACGAATATAATCATGTAATATATTGGGGAACTTAATCTTACTCAATGAATGGTTCTGCTCCATGATAATTGAACAAAACATACCGATGAGCTTGCACCAAAGTCATCTCATCTAGATTAATGAACTTTTGTTTTCCCAAGGCACGACCTTGTGCACCAAAATCATTCACTTCCTCTCCATCAAGCACATTATCGGAATTCCTTTGGGGCCTATCGAATCTCGTCTCAATATTTGTCAGATAACGTGAACAAAAAGTCGAGCATTCTTCTACTAAATAACCTTCTGCTATTGAACTCTCGGGATGACTTCTATTTCGCATGTAATTTTTTAAAGTCATAAGGTACCTAAATATAAATAAAGAAATTTAATAATATCAGAATTATTAAAAAATAAACAAACTATAAATGAAAATTCATTAAAAATCTTGACCTCTCAATTGGATACATCCAACAGTATTGCACTGGTCCTGTAATCCTTGCCTCGTGAGCCAAGTGAATATATAAATGTACCATTATGGTAAAGAAGGCAGGTGGGAATTTCATTTCCAACTGACATAGTATTAAAACAATCTGGTGTTCCAATTTATCCAAGTCTTCAGGCCGAAGAGTCTTTAAACACAACTCTCGATAAAAGTTACTGAACTCGACAAGTACTGAGCAAACATTCTTAGGCAATATCCTACGAATGGCTATGGCTAGAAGTTGTTACATCAAGATATGACAATCATGACTCTTCAACCCACTAATTGTACGCTCTTTCAATTTCACACAAGGTGAAATGTTAGATGTATATCCATCTGGAACTTTAACATTTTTCAACACTAGACATAATGTGCTCTTTTCAAGTGAAGATAGCGTGAAACTTGCAGGAGGCAAATAAAATTTGTTTGAACCACGTTCTTGTGGGTGAAGTGAAGGCCTTACTCCCATATCCAATAGGTCAAGTCTTGCTTTTAATCCATCCTTCCCTTTCCGATCATTCATCAATGCGTGAAGTATATTGTCACATATATTTTTTTCAATATGCATCACATCTAGATTATGACGCAGAAGATTATACTTCTAATATGGTAATTGAAAGAATATACTCTTCTTTCTCCAATTGTGCGGTGGACGCGTCCGATCTTCAGGCTTCCGATCTTCATTCATTGTATGCACACTCTTTCCAAATGGTGGAAATTTAAGGCCCTCTAATTCATGTAACAATTATGGTCCAGATAACATAGGTGGTGCACACCTTACCTCTTCAATGCCGTCAAATGTTGATTTACAATGCCTATATTTATGATCTTTTCCAAGAAAACAACAATGCCCATCATAACATATTTTCTTGCTATTATCTAAGAAATGAGAACAAGTGTCTTTATTACAAGTAGGACAAGCCAAATACCCTTTTGTACTCCAACCAGATACCATTGCATAACCAGGAAAGTCAGAAAGAGTCCAAAACAATGCTGCATGCATGCGGAACATATTATTTCTTGAAGCATCATAAGTTTCCACCCCATCAACCCACAACTCTTTTAATTCCTCTATCAAAGGCTGCAAATAGACATCAATATCATTTCCAGGTCCCTTAGGGCCAAGTATCAAGGTTGATAGAATAAAATAAGGCTGTTTCATGCACATCCATGAGGGTAAGTTATACACGAGTATCAAAACAGGCCATGTACTGTGTGCAACACTCATGGTCTTGAATGGGTCGAACCCATCAGTTGCTAATGCAAGGCTGACATTCCGAGGATCACTAGAAAATGTTGGGTATCTTTTATCAAAGCTATCATATGCTGGGGATTCAGCGAGATGTCTCATCAATCCATCTTTGATTCGCTCTTCGGCATGCCATCTCATAAAAGTTGCCTTACTTGACATGAACAATCTTTGGAGTCTTGGCTTCAAAGGAAAATATCGTATAACTTTAGCAGGAATTTTTTTATTTGTTGATGAGGATGATGTACTCGCATTGCCCTTAGTTTCTGAATCAAAAACTTTCCACCTTGACTTGCCACAATTATGACACATTTCATCATTAGAGTACTCCTTCCAATACAACATACAATCAGAGGGACATGCATGAATCTTATCATATTTAAGACCCAGGACACCAATCATCTTCTTTGTTTCATTGAAAGTTTTTGGTAATGTCTCGTCATATGGTAATCCATCTTTTATCACTTTTAACAAATCAGTGAATGATTTGTCACTCCAATTATATTTAGTCTTCACTAAATATAGTTTTACTACATAGGATAAGTTTGAAAACTTTTTACACCTAGGATATAACTCTTGGTTTGCATCTTCTAATAGCCTATAAAATTTATCTAACTCTTAATTTGACACCCTTCGATGCTGATCATTTTCTTTGTTGGTCTCTTCCCTCCCTTCAGTTAGAACACTGAAACCCTCGTGTAAGAGTCCATGCATATCATCATTTTTGTTTGCATTGATATCCTCATGTGTTGTATGTACATCAGTTTGCCGAGAAGATGACAGCACTTCTTCCCCGTGATAAAACCAAGTTGTGTATGACTGAATAAACTTATTGCACACCAAATCATCTCTCACCTCAGAACGTGTTTTTTTTATACAATTGCCACAATCAGTACAAGGACAATATATACGACCATCCTTCCCAACTCGCTCAAATGAGATATCTAGAAACTCTTCAACTCCACGAAAGTATGCTAAACTTAACCTATTTGCATGGTAATGCATATAATAAATCAAATGTCTTAAATTGTAGTTATTAGATTAAGTAACCTAATCAAACTACAATCTAAAGTACCTTGACTGAGTTATCTAACTTCTATCCATGATATTACATCAAGTAACCTAAATAAAATATATGGACAAGAAATATATTATTGGTAAACATGATAACAATTTAGTCAAGGTATTTGAAAAAAATAAAAAGAGTAACACGTACAACAAAAAAAAAAAAAAAAAAAAAAAAAAAAAAAATGACTACTCCATTAAAACAAATTCCTCAACAAAATATAGCTAGGGTTCCTAAGAATGATCATAAATTTTTAGTAAAATATCATTATGCAAGATGGGTCCATTGTGTACAGTAAGAAAGTGTAATACTCCTAATTCTCAAAAGGATATAACTGAAATTTATTTATTTATTGTATTTGTATTTTAATTGATTAATTGATTATTTGATTTGTGTGCATTTAAATATGATTATCTGGCTATGTGTTTAATGGTTTTATTTGCTTAATTGGTAATTGTGTCTGTTTAAATTAATTGTAATTGTTTTTAATTTAATTATTGGTTAATTTAATTATTTGATTAGTAGTGACTTAATTAACGTGTATTTTTGGTAGCTTATATAATTTATGTGTGTTGTATTTGTAGTTTAGGTTTAGGGTTTTATTTTCATGTAGTCGCCGACTTAAATTAGGTTTTAATTAAAGCTTATAAATATACGGTCATGATCTGACTTAAGGTTGGGACGTCTATATAGATATTCTTGTATACGTCTGCTAGGGTTAGAAAACCCTATTCACGTAATAGTGTCTTGAGAGGAAAAATAGAGAAGGTTCGGAGAGGAAAGCAGGAGGAAGAAAATGGGATGCTTCTGGATGGAACCAAGAGCAACGGAGGTGTTAAACGATAGTCGGGAATCTGTTGGAAAATACAGAGATGGTGGTTTAGGTTTTAAAGCTGAAACCGAAGGCAAGTTTCATTCTATCTCCTTCCTGTAAACTTGTGTTCTGTGCATCCTTTATAGTCTTCAGGAATTAAATTCAACTTTTAAAACTGATGTTTGATGCATATTTGCCGGATTGTAAACTAATTAATGTATAAATAACTAAAGTTTGCTTTCTTTGCATAAACTGTTTGGATTATGTTTTAAACTCATGTAAATTAATTCATAAAGGAATGCAAGGAGTTTCTAGGACTGTTGGGACTTATCTTGCACCTTAAGAACTTTAAAAAAAAGTTTGGAACAAAGGATAGAACTTTACCGGAATTAAGGAAGACGAACAGAAAAAACATAAACTGTTATTGTTTTCGGTTTAGATTTTTGTCAATTAATTCATACTGGAATTGGAGAAGTTTCTAGGATTGTTAGGACTTAAATTGAACTTGAAAAATATTTAACAAATATTGGACAGAGGACTGAAGCATTACCGGAAGCAGAGAAGGCAAGCAGAGGAGGAAAAATAGAAGCTGAAAGAGTGGAGGAGGCTCCACCCTTCAATGGAGCCGGCTCCATTGAAGTGGAGCAAGCTCCACACTCTTATGGATGCGGCTCCAAGAGGGTAGAGCAGGCTCCTGATCGGTATGACAATTATACATCAACCTTTGCAATAGCACAAATCATTGTAAAATAGGGCTATTGGTCGGGTAAGTCGAACCACTGGAACTGCTAGTTTATGGCAACTAAGATATCTAAAATCACTTTTAGAATGATGAAATGGTTTATAGAGTTTTGTTGGTTTGTCACTAAAATTAAGAATTAAAATGCATAAAACACTAAAGTAAGGAGGTAAAGATAAATAAGAAGGGACTAGAGAAGTGAATCCACCTTCAACCCTATACACATGCTAGACAAAGACTAAATTGGGGATAGACAATATATAACGGTCAAGAATTATATAGCAACACGTGATTGCCATATAATCATCAAGAAGTTCATTAAATCAAAAACAAGAATGACCTATCAAAAGTTTATACATTTGAACTACCTAAACTAAGGTATAGCATCAAGCATAAACCATTAAAGGAAATACCTAAGCAATAGACTATCAAGTTTCTCTATTAACATGCCATGAAAACCATTCACAATCTTATTTCCATTGTCACCATGAAAATGCAAGCATTATGATTGAGATAAGAAACCATTTAAGACTAAATAATAACTTAAGACAATCATTTGTGTGCATTAAAATTCATTACATCAAGTAATATGCTCTAGATTATGAAAAGACCAAATTATACATCATTATCCCCAAAATTGAAGCTAATCTAAAACATGCTTACAGGGAAGGGCTTCATCACCTCCCTAGAGAAGGATTTAGTTACCCATAGGAACAAGGAATGAAGGAGAAGAAGCAAATCCACCCTTTATTTTCTTGCTCAAGCAAGCTAGCACCCAAAACCCTCAAGATCACTCATTTCTCTCTCTAGAACTTAGCTAAAATGTGTGATATCTCAATAATAATGCCTCAAGGCTCTTATCTAGCCAAAAACCCCTCTCCTCACCCTCCATCACAAGCTCTAACCACTCCAAGGAAGTAGAACCACACAAAAATTGCAGAAGGAACAAGTTTAGAACAAAAACAGGAGCAGGTGGGCTGCTCTCTGCAAATTGACGGGCGCTCGCGGTGTACTGGCCGGCGCCCACGGGCCTTCAGGGCGTGAGGGGGCTACTGGCTTAAACTGCGGGTGCCCGCAGTGGCGTGGCGGGTGCCCGCGGGAGCTCGG